GCTGCTGCTGCTGCTGCTGCTGCTGCTGCTGCGCTGCTGTGCGTTGCTGCAGCATAAAGTGCTACTGGAAGTAATCCTGAAGCAGCAAAGAGTATTGTAAATGTTTAGAGATGCTGCAATAGACAGCGAATTAAGGTTTGTCTGCTCTTAAGGAGGTTCTGATAAGTCTGCTGGGCCTCCCCCTGTAGGAGAAGTAGAGAGTGGATTTGTTTGCTGTTTTGCTTCGCCAGTAAGAGAATAATAGACAAAACAAAAGATAAAATTAATCTTTAGTATAGATTCAAGCAGACTATGTAACGCACAGCACCAGAGCGGCCGCCGCACGTGTTTAGGAGAAGCAGCAGCTTTAGACGAGAGTGAGGCAGAGAGAGAGAGAGAGAAAATGAAGATAAATAGCTCTACTGAACATACAGTTGAGGAGAAGACGTCAAAAATAATAAATTTTTCCTCATAGAAACAAAACCAAACTGTGTGTACAGTGCAGGGGTACTGACATCATACCGCATTTGCATGTCTATGCATATGTACATATAATATATATTATATATAATATATATATATGCATACATTTAAACGTGTCAAAGAGAAGAACAGAGAAAGCTATAGAAATATATACTATTTTCTGCTTTTTATTTGATAGAAATGACTCTCTTTTAAACAATAAATTCATCAAATACTACTTATAAAACAAACAAAAAACAGATATACACAAACAATAAAGAAACGCACGCAGGAAGCCTCTGTGCGGCCTACATCACTGCGGTGTACAGACAGTCTGTTGAATCATAAAAGAAATATATATTAAATCTCTATTTATTTTAAATTATTTTCATCATATTATACTCTAAACATATCCCTTCTACTGCATAGAAAATACTCTTCAAACCCCCAGCCTCCGCCGTCTCTAAACGCAAGCTTCTCCTCTCTCATTTAAATGACTTAAATGCATTTTCTTTTATTATTCTAATTGCAAACATGTCTCAATAATAATATAATGTAGATACACTCGAGATCCTCCTAGCAGTACGTAGGAAAGCCAGCGCACATCTTTGCTCTCTCCTTCTCTCTGTCTGTTCTCTACTTTATATTTCAATCAAAATTTTAAGAATTTCTTTGCTCAATTAAAAATACACGCAAAATATATATATTTCGGAGAAACATCTGACAAACTTGTCGCCTCTACGCAACTCTTATTCTCTATTATTAACAGATACAAAGCGATAAATATATATATATAGTATATATGTATATATATTGTATATATGTATTTATATATATGTATATGTATGTTGATCTGCTTATTATATAGGTCTTATGCAGATTCCTGCACAGAGAAAGCTTCCAAAGACACTGCAATTCAAACGTCTAATATAAATTTTGTTTATAGAGGCAATGCGTGTAAGGAGGCGCCTTTACTTCAATGAGTTTGTCTTTGTTGTCTGAATGAATATGCACCCGCTAATAAATTAAAAAGGGATAACTATAAACAACAAAGACAAAATATTAAGTGTAAAAGAACGTATATACATGGATAGCAGATATGTATATACATATAAATAATGTATATACATATGTATGCATATGCCTATATATAGTTGCATCTATATACTTGTATTATTATTCTGTATATGCATAATATAATATACATAAATTATTATATAATATTACAATGTTATATAAATATTATCATAGACAGCGGGACAGCTGCATGCAGCTGTGCGACGCAGTAAAGAGGTTAAGTTTTGTATGGAGGCAGATTAAAAGAAAGAAAAAGAGAAAAAAGAAGAAATAGCTTCAACAGCTCGTCTCTGTTATTTTAATTGTTTATTGCAAAAAGATTTGTAGACAACGCATGCAGCAGCATAGGGGGCTCACCACTTGCGTTTGTTCTGCTGTCTGTACACCTCAATCATAGCCTTTGCTGCTCTGTCTAATCATCTTTCTGAATTTATTATTTTACATATATTTTCTCTTTTTGCGTTTTCTTTGCCCTCACCGCCCACAACGCGCATTTGTTGCATCCTCTGCTCTTTAGATAAAGATAAATTCTTCCTATTGACCTACAATTATATTATATACAGATATATATATATATATATATACAAATATATATATATATATATGGATATGTATACGTATATATTTAACAATTGACCCTTATAGCAGTTAGATGTTCTTCGATTTTCTTCTTTTCAATTTTTTCAGCGACAGAGTCAAAGCCAAGCGTTGGGTGTACGTACATCAAAAAGAAAAAAAGAATAGTTAATTTGTGTCTTTATGAAGTTGCATGCTTTTAAATATATTAAAAGAATAATGTATAATGCATGCAGCGTAGATATACCGAAAAGAAAGTTTTGTTATTAAATGATCAACCCTCTTCTTAACTTCTCTAATTCGCATGCTTCAGTTGCTGCAGCTGTAGCCGCAGCTGCTGCAGCAACTGGAGCAGCAGCAGGAGGCAACTGCAGCAGCAGCTGGAGCAACAGCAGCAGCAGCAGGAAGCAAGTGCAGCAGCAGCAGCAGCATCAAGAAATTGCTTTTCTGCATATATTTCCTACCGCTGCAGAAGCAATCTGGTGAAGGTGCTTTTGAAGCAAAGACAAAACTCTAAGACTGCAATCCCGACGCTGCAATTTTTTATAATGCCTGAAAATTCTTCATCATTAAGCAGTACACCACAATATAAGCAGAAATATTGAGGAAGAGGAAAAGACGCTTCAATAAGAAGCATAATATATATATATATATATATATATATACAGCCGGCAGTTATATACTTAAAGTATATATATATATATATATATTGCTATCTGTTGCAGCCAGATGGAACGCCCAGCCTTTGAACGCTGTAGCAGTCGACATGAAGCTGCTCTTCTCCTAAAAAAAAAAGAAATAAAAATAAATGAAAATTGCAAAAGTTTTGATGAATGATGAAGGCGAGGAAGCCCCAAAAAGGTTGAGTGAAGCATGCAATAAATAGATGCGAAGAAAATGCAAAAAAGATAGAAAATAAACAAATAAATTATTTAATTTCGGCGTTTTAGAGTTTAATTGTTTGATATTTATTGACATTATAACCAATCAATATTCTTTTCAGCAGTCTTTCCTGCCTAATTTTTTTAAGAAAGCTGCAAATAAACTTCATTTATATTGTGCATTTGGAATAAACGTTCAAATATTCATGTTCAAATATTCATAAATATGAATTGAACAGCTCAAATAAAAGCAAAGAAAGACGAAAAAAAGAAAAGAAATTGCATTCAATAGAAAAACCTGAATGGCAGTGTACTTTCACGTTCACAGATAATATAAAAAAGAAAAATAAAGATGCTCGTTTTCTTCTTCTGTTTCTCAATAAGAAGGGAGGAAAGCATCAGAAATATTTATATACAATATACTTTATGCACACTGAACTGCAACATACTATTAACGCATAAATAGCATAGATTGGCGCCTCTTAAGTATCCCCCGTTCAAATAACATTTCTGTGCATCTGTAAGAGTTTGTTCTTCTTCAACGCTCAGCAGTATTGATAATTGTTTAAAGGGGAGGGCAGTGAGCCGACTTCATGTTGCTGTGCATCAAAATCCAACTGTATGTACACTCCATGCGTCAACGGAGAGGTCGCAGCAAACTAATTATATACTAATTATATATTATATCTATTGGAATTTACAAGTTGAACTCGTTCTGTGCTCTTGTCTAATGAGCATCGTTTTCAGTCTAATAGGGTTGTTAGGTTCGTTATTTATTATTTCTTCAAGCTGGATGCAACCGCAGCGTCTAAGGGCGATGCGCTTTCTCCCTAGACGCCCGACTGTCTTCGCTGAAATATAACTGTTTTGCTGTGATGTTTATATTGATTTGCACAGAGAAGCAGCTTGAGTTTGTGTGCATGCAAGCAAAAGAACTACTTGAGGGGCCGCTGCCTTCCTAAGCAGAGCAAGGCGAGTGAACGAGCCCCCATCTCATGTCCTGTTTGAACCCCTACAAAAGGTAGAAAATGTGAATAAAGATTATTAATTCATTTAAAAACAAAGGCTGCAACGTAGACAGCAGTGCAGCGCATACAGTCCGATTTCAATTGGGCGCTCGAGACCGGCGGGAAGTGGAAGCCTGCGTTTATTTGCTTATTCTTGCACCTTCCTCATGAAATCTTTTAAAATAAGAACATGCTTCTAAAGATATATATGTTGTCGTTAAGGCAAAGTACTTTTATACAGTCGGTAGCTTTTCAAGGTCTGCTCTTCTGCGGGTCTGCAAGACCGTAGGGCAGCGGGCTGAGAAGGCCTGCCTATTAAACATGAATGTATGATAAATAAATCATTTCTTATACAAAGATTGAGTAGAAAAGAGCTAATTTAATGTATAAAGGTGAGATCATTCAACTCGGCTCGGGGAGATCGAAGCTGTACAGACACCGCAGAGGTCCAAGTCGGCTGCCCATTCAAATTTAGCTCGTTGACTGTTCATTGTTGCAAGTAAGGGGGGAAAGAAACACTAAAACATGAATAAAAATAGAAAAACAGTGAGAACTTCTTTTTATTGTTTTTAATTGACGGGTTTTTTGTCTAAACTTTAAAAGTGCCTTCTTCTACCCGTCGCTGATTTCTCTTTCCTCTCAACGGGGGGGCTGGCGAGCCGCCCTTTTTGCAGCCTCTTGAGAGCCTTGAAACCCTCGAAAGAAATGAAATCTGAAGCTCTTTTGCTGTTTTCAGCAGCTGTGGCTGTTGTAGCTTCCTTGTCTGCTGCTGCTGAGGGCAGATTGCTCTTCTTGCCGCTGCAGCGGACCGGCGGTCCCTCCTTACTCGAACTCCGCAGCAATGCGGATGTGTCGGACTCCTCAAAAGAAGCAAGTAATGCAGAAGATCCGGAGACAGCATCCAGCAAAGAAGGAGAAGGAGAAGAAGCTTCACAGGCCGAAAGCGCCTCTCAGAGCGCCTCATCTCAACAACAAGAAACTGAGCAACCACAGCAGCAGCAACAGCAGCAACAACAGCAGGCAAGTGCTGCAGATGAAGGAAGTTCTTCTGCTGAGTCTGCCAGAGCTGCAAGCAGCGAGGCTGAGGCTCCCCAAGGCGAAGGAGAATCCGCTTCCGTAAGCTCCACGAGTTCAGAGAAGGAAGCAGCAGAGAGCAAAGCAGAAGCAGCAAGTCAGCAGCAGGAGCAGCCGCAGCAGAGACCTGCACAGAATCAGCAGCAGCAAACTACAGCTGCTGCAGCCCCAGCAGAGCCCTCAGCGCCCGCTGAGGAGTCAGCAGCAGCTACAGCAGCAGAAACAGCAGCTGAGCAGCCGCCGCAGCCACAGCAGCAGCAACAGCAACAGCAGCAACAGCAACAAGAGAAGCAGCAGCCTCCGCGCATGCAGACTATCGCTCCCCACAGGCAGCAGGAAGGAACAGCGGCTGTCACTGGTCCCCCTCATGTAGAGGAAGTCACAGCTCGTGAGAATAAAAATAAATATAAGCAGCATAAGCAATTATGATTACTGCATGCATGCATGCATGCATGCATGCGTGCATTTGGCAGGGATTTATCCCCTCTTTCTCCCTTGGGGCTTCTTCTCTTTGCATGCAGCCAATGCCTCTCGATTTCCTGTTGTGTGTGTGTGTGCATTGGACGGTGACTCTTATATGCACAATTCGTTCTTGCGTTTGTCTTCTTTCTCGTATGAGGTTCTATTGATGTTGCTGTCGTTGCCTTTCTGCTGCTGCTGCTGTGGCTGAGGCGGCTGTCCTGTTGCTGTTGCTGTTGCTGCTGCTGTTGCTGGTGTTGACTCTCCATAGGGTGCTGAGTCCTTTGTTGGGGTTGCAGCAGCAGTAGTTTGCTGCTACTGATTCTGCGCAAGTCTCTGCTGCTGCTGCTGCTGCTGCTGGCTTTCTGCTTCTGCTTTGGTTTCTGCTTCCTCTTCTTTTCTGTTGTGCTTGTGTTTAACGCATTTATGCCTTTTTATTATTGCACTATTTTCTGTCTTATTTTTTATAGAATAGAAAATAACAATGTTGTTTTCGGCGTTTGTTTAAAGGACCCCCCGCATATTTCTTTTCATTGTGTAGCCTTTATCTTTATCGTTTTCATGTTTATCTTTATCATTCTCTTTAACTTTAACTTTATCTTTATCTTTTCTTCTTTTAAATGTTTATTTACATTCTTATTTTCTTCTCGTTCGTGCAGACTGTTTGTTAACTCACAACAAAATACGTACAGCGCGATTAGACACGTGGGTTTCTCCGCTTAAAGCGGATGATTCTCTTGCTGAGGCTGCGAGAGCAAAAGCAATGGAATTTGTTAACAATAAATGTACAATGCCTCCAAATTCACACTCAAAAACAAGTAAAGTAAGCCTATAGATATGCATGCATGCATGCAAGCAGTGGGTTCTTGCTGGCTACTCTACAGTTCTAATTAACATACTATCTTATATATGCTGTGTGTATCACCATAATAAATAATATATATATGTATATATATATATATTAAGTTGTTTGTCGGGTGAATCTTCGCTACACCGCAGCTCAGCTTGTGTTTGTTGAGGTTTCTCTCTCCGTTTTTGTTTGTTTTTGCGTTGTTTGTTTCATCCGCATAGCGCACAGATAAAGCTGCCGGTATTTGCATGATATATGGATATAATCTTTATTTATTTATTTAAATGTATTTAAATATATATATGTATATATATATATATTCAAATATGGATTTATGTATGCAATGCATATCATATCCCAAATAAATAAACAAATAAACAAGCAAACAAATCAATAAACATATATATATATATATATTATAGGCATACTAGGGTGTATATTATCTGAACTTGTCTCTGCGTTGCTTGTCTCAGTTAAGCGAATTGATGATAAATAAAACAAAAAGTGCATGCGACTCTCTGAGCTACGCTTTCCTCGATGGGCTTTCTGAACTTGAGTAAGAAATATACATATATAAACACGAAAATAAAGATAAAAAGCAAGTAAATAAATAAATAAATAAGCAAATGTATATTTAAACATATGTGTATATATATGTTTAGATATATATATTTAAATGAATATCAATGTATATATCCGTAAGCAATAAATACGTGTACATATATTGATAAATATGTAAGAATATAAATAGCTAACTAACTAACCAAATAAATAAGTAAAAAAAATATATATGTATATATATATACATAGATATATATAAAGATGGATAAGCATAAATACGAGTACGCATAGATAGGAGTTTAGTTGGGTATGCATTTGCATGTTGATGAAAATTGTGTTTGTGTTGTTCTTCAGAAGAGCGGTTAAAGACGATTCCTCTCCGGGTGTCTATACACCTGAAGATCCGAAGAGCCCGTGGCATTCAGAGAACGCACAGAAATTTGCATTAATTATATCTGAGACAACGAAATATGCTGGATGTGCAGCAACTGTTGGATGCGAGAAAGACGTCTTCTTCTGCGTTTATTCTCCGCCCTTACCAGTGGGCAGCGCTATCATCTCGTAAGTACACCACAAGCAATAACTTGTATACAAGTATATATATATATATATACTTGCATACTTCATTTAGCGATGCAGCCTTAGTATATCTCGCACCTGAAGCAGCAGCAGCGGCAGCAGCAGCAGCTGCTGCTGCTGCTCCATGCATGCATGCATGGAGAATCCCGTCTGTGATGTTTTTGAGTTATTTTCGTTGCTGTTTGTTTTGTGTACTTCTCAGAAAATCGTTTTTTAATGCGTTGAAAAAGCGGCAACGCGTAGAGTCGCATGGAAAGGAGTATTTTCCTGGTTCTGCTGCTGATCACGAGATAAAAGAAAGTGAAGGCTCTAAGATTGCTGATCTTGAAACAGGTGCAGCTGCAGCAGCATATCCAACTCCTATCTTCTCCTTGTTAACTGCTGCTGTTGCTGCTGCTGTTGCTGCTGCTGCTGCAGTAGCGTGAGAAAAGAATTATTTATTCATCTGTTGGCGTAACACTAAGACACATCGGCTCCGCTGCATGTACAGTTTGCTTTTAGCTGTGTTTACACCTAAAAGGCTCTGCAGCGATTTGACAGTCGACGTGCTATACTGTATATATATACTATATATATACACTATATTTATACATATGCATAAATTATTGTTTAATGCTGGACTAAATTTGGCACCTTTCTCTCTGCTGCACTGTATGGAGAGGAAAGGCATAACAGCAGCTAACGCTAACGCGTAAAAACGGCAATAAATATTTTATTTTTAAAAAAGAAAATAAAGAAGGCAGCAACAGTTGCTGAGAGAGACGCTGGGTCTCGATAGACGGACGCGAAAACCTACAAAAAAAATCGTCGGAATTTTTTATTTTTACAAGCAATTTGATTAATTTAATTCTTTCACAATAATTTAATTCAATTTAATTTTGCTTCACTTTTTTAAAAGATATTTTTTACTTAGAATCTTTTTGGGGCATTTAACTTTGCAATGATTTATCTTTTTAAAAAACAATTCATTTACTTCAATCATTCAATTACGAATTATTAAACCATCTTCACTGTTCATCTTCCATACGATAGCATAAGCCATCTTTGCAGCGGACCCGCCCCTGAAACCGCATACACGGAACCGACAACAAGGTAATAGATAAATAAATAAATTTTAAAAAGTAAACAAGCAGATATATATATATATATATATGTACATGATCGTCGAGAAGTAACTTACAAATATTTAGGAATGCAACTATCAAATATTTGCGTGGAAAGAAAACTAACGAATATAAACGGAAAGCTTATATATATATATATATATATATATATATATATATATATATACATGTGTGTATAATGTAGAAGCAACTCACACAAATTATATATGTACATTATGTAGAGGCAACTAACAAGCATAAACTTGGAAAGGTAGAAAAAGACTGTTGAAGGGAAGGCAATGAATAAAAACAAAACATAAAAACACTTTGAATTCCTTGTCTTGTTACACGCGGCAATTGTGTAAAAAAACCGAAAATAGACAGAAAAGCAAATAGAGGGAATTTCAAACTCAGTATATAAATGCAAAAGTTTAAAAGTATGTTTAAAACATCCGCGGTACTGCTAATATGTACGTTATTTATCCATATATTTGCCTGCGGTGGTGGTGATGTCCTGTTTAGGTGTTTCTCGTCTAAGGTGTGTTTTTGATTAAATTGAATTGTTTAAGACCCACAGACTCTCCCCCTTCTTCTTTTTCTTCTTCTTCCTCTCCTCCTTTTTCTACATCTTTTCCTTCGGAGAATCTCTTGTAGACCTTCAAAAGGGAAAGCAGAGTTAAGGCAACCAGCACGAGAACCCCCAAGGCTAGTTGGGGAGTAGGTATCTTTGAATGCCCCTTCAAAGCATTTTCTTCTTTTCGTTGTTCAAGAAGAACAAATTCTGGCTCAAGCTGATCGCCTTCCGCTGCGTACTCAACTTGCACTTGAGGGGGTTGTAGATCGGCAGCTGGGGATTCGGCTGAGGAAAATGCAATTAAAGAAATAAATATTATATTTATTGACGTTAACAGCATCAAAAACAAACTAAGCCGCGAAAAAACCGCAGCTTTCCGCACAAATGGCTGCCCCATCATCCTCTGCGCCTCAAGTCAAGCGAAACCGAGCTGATGTATGTACACCCGAAAATTCAACTTTTTTGAGTTAACTGCAATTATACGCAGTAAAACTATTGCTATTTATTGAAATTTTAGTTACATTTTACAGTCTCCAGAGAGAGAGCGAAGAGCGCCTCGGGGCTGCCGATCTCACCATACCATGGTGTGGTGAGAGCGCAGAAGGGAAACAGCATCAGTACAAGTAGAACTCAACCTTTTCGAGAAAAGTATTTAAAATTGCTCACAAAAGCACATATTTGTAATTAAGAATTAAACTTTATCGACAAAAATGCGATGACATGCAAGGGCTAACTTACCTTGAAGACTTTACTCACTCCATGTGACCGCCATACTCGATGCTTGACTCATCCCAGGATAAAGGAAGAGAACTATAAATAGAAATAGATTCTAAAGAAGAGAATAAAAGAAAGCGAATTATAAATAAAAAACAGATTTGAATTACTTTTAGCATGGATGGAGGGTGAAATGTTGAGGATAATTGCAAATACTAAATCCTACACCAAATCATTCAGTTTTACAGCACTGTATCATTAGTAAAACAATATCGTTACCTAGGTTTATTTTCTTATAGGAGAAGCGTAGTAGGAGTTGAAGTGCTCCATGCGTAATTACAGCTCGCTCTCGCTTAACAGAAGTGCGAAACCCAGTGGATTCAGAAGTACGCGAAAATGGCCGTTACCAGAGTCAAAACAATATTATCTTTTTAGTATTTATGTATATATAAGTGCACATAAATGTACGATTTGTTGCATATTGACGCGCATACGCACATGTATGTAGAAATATATATATATATATATATACACTGATGTCGAATATAAATAAATATGCATTTGCACACACATAATACAATACATAATTTCTTGTACAACTACTGAGGCAATACAGCTGATGCGGGTATTTGGATGCAGGAGCTCGTCACTTAGTGTATACTGGAGTACATACGCATAAAAGAAAAAGCAAAATGGCCTAACAAGAACACAAAAACGAACCAGAATTTTTTACTATTAACACTACTCCTACTCGCCTCTTGTTCCAGAAATCTTGTGAATCTGCGCATCTACTCAGGTTTCTCTAGAGTATATCCGCAGATATATATATACATATATATTATATAGATTATATATTATATATATGTAAATATATTGCTTGAGTGATTAAGGAGGAGTCGCTATGATATCCAAAGTACAAGAGGCCTCTCTTTCTTGTATTTTTGACGTTGAGACACCCGGAGGTGCAAATGCAGCACACGACTGTCTACTGGGAATTCGTATTTCCCTTTTCAAATGAATTTCCATCACAATTTCTGAAGGTATAAAGTGCGAGTTATATTATTACACGTCGGTATGCTGTACATACACTGCAGCAGCCTCAAGAGAAAGGAACTGCATAAAGACCTTTTCTGTTGGTGCACTGATTCTAAACAAAGAATAGTTCCAGGCTCTTTGAATCCAGCAGGGGCTAAACAAGGAATTTTATATTTATGTGGATGTTCATGCCTACTTATGCAGATGTTTAAATATGTATTTATGTGGTGTTTATGTAGACTTTCGTTGCGGTTCAAGTATATTTCTCCAGATGCACGGCGCGGGGATGAAACATTAGAGTTTATCATTAGGGTTTGTGATTAGGGTTTGCATTTAAAGCATACGCTTTAGGTTTAAGATTAAGGTTTATCGTAAGAGGTTGAGTTGACGAGGGTTGCATGACGGGCGTAGGGCCTGGGATTTAGGGTTTACGGTTTACGATTAGGGTTTAGTGCTTTTACGGTCCCCGCTGAAGGTTTCAGTCCGGATGCATTGAATGCATGCAACTGCATAATGCACTTCCATATGTTCCTGCAAGAAAACTTGCATATAATACAATTTTTATATAGTTTTTGATTGTACAAACCCTAGGGATATCATGTGACGCCTATCTCCGAGCTCAGGGGAGTCTGCTTAAGATGTTGGGTTAAAAAGGAGAGGAAATAACATATTAATTACTTACTTTAAGGACAAAATAGAAGCAGGGGGTTGTTCTCTACGAGACAGCGAAAAACCATCAATTGGTGCTGATGGTGCGGCTTTTGAATCTGTTTATGAATTTGTTTTCTTTCCTCTTCACTCGCATGCATAACCGGCTGCTGCAGCGGATCTCCTAGTTATTGAATTGTTTGTATTTATGGACTTTAAACTGCACGTGATAATTTTTCATTCTATTTGTAGCTACATATACACCCAAGAAACGCCTTTGAACCCAAGTACTGCTGAAACGCTAAAACGCGTCGACGAAGGACTACTTACCTAATACATCTGGAAACCCAAACATATACCCCTAAAAGCAATTTTAAAAGAAGAGTCTGTCTTTTGTTTTGCCACATAAATATTCCCAGAAAACAGCATTTGATGTTTTTCTTTGCAAGTTGCACGAATGCTTTGCCTTTTGACAGAAGCCAACAATTCAAGTTCGTAAGAGCAGGCATTTCTCGGGATCCTCTTTCCTGTTAAATGAAGAGGCGAGAAAAATTTGTCGTTTCTTTATTTTCTCTCTCTTCTGGCAAAAAATGTCTATGATTACTTCATTACCTTGCACTGCAGTATTTGTGGAGCGACGCTTCCACTCGAATAATGGTTTTTACCAACAGCTCACCGAAGAGCGGAACCCGCCAATAAACCTTAGCTATTCTTGTTAACAAGACAATTCAAACATCTTTAGAAAGGGGTCACTGTCTTGAAAGGGAGAGAAGACAATAGGCACTTGCAGCAGAAGGAAGGTGCGAAAAAGGAGTGCGGAAACCTCTTCGTGAAGAAAGCAAGGGAGAAGTTGCGCGTGCATGCAAAACGACGCAAATATAAAGGTAAGATTCTGTTTTTAATTCTTAGAAAATTCTCAAAAATACACAAACAATGCAAATATATGTCTCGCCGCACCGGCGGCGAGACATATACTTGCAAAAGGGCAGAACTTAAACACCGCCCAACACAAAATAATGAGCAATCGAGTTCTTGCGCATTCAGCAGTGACGGATTAGATAATTGCGCGGGAAATAGACTTATATTTTAATTTAAAAATAATAATTATTCAACAATTATCCTTGTTTTTTGGTCCTTTTGTCGGTGCAGGCTTCGAATCTCGGCAGCAGCTTCCGCAAAGCTTCAGCAGCCAGGCTGGATGCGTTGTCATTGGCTTTGTCTGGACTGTCTTCTTTCCCTCGCTTTAAATGCAGCATTACCTTTTGGAAAGGCTGAGAGAAATCAAAAGAAATAAACTTGGAAGAAACATTATTTGCTGCAGGCAGTGCTGAAGCGAACTCTTCCTTCCGTCTGCAGATGCACACCAGATGCCCCGAGAGCAGTGGGCGACAGAACGAAAGAGGCCCTATACCTCAGGAAAGCTGATATTTTTCTAGCATTTAAATATATTTTTATTTATTTAACGGTCAATTTGCAGGTTTCTGCACCCAAGTTCGTCTCGCTCTTGTTCGCCACACCAACCGAACAAGGCAACGGCGTGCACGAGTGCGCAGGCCCGGCGCCGCCACAGGAAAGCCATCGATTTAACTGCAAAACTTCGAATTTTTCAGCATTTCGAAATGAAAAATCAATATTTTAAGTTCTTCCTTCAAAATAAGCACCAATAAGAGCAATAGGCCACCCCAAATTGCCTCGCCTGCAATGCCATTGCCTAGTGGCTGGAGGGTAGCAACGACGGTGCGGCGGCGCGTTGCTCGGAAGTGTGTCTTCATTGTTTTTCTGCTATCGTTTGTTTAGTTTTCAATTAGCTGGCAAATTTAAATCCATTTAATGTCAATTACAACAGAATAAGGTATTGTTTCAAGCCGCTCTTCGCCCACACAGCTGGGAAACCGACAATATGTGCGTTCAGCCCGAGACAACACAAACGCAGAAACGCCCGCGCCGCTCGTTGTTCTTCTAAGGGTCCCTGGTATTTCAAGTGATATTTTATTGTTTTTCAGATTACATAATTGACATATAGTGGTTTGTAGTTGGTCTTTCACCTAAAATGATGGCTGTGCAGTAGACCGGCACTTGGGTGGTCAGGAGCGGCGAGGCCAGCCATCCCACTCCCCTATGCCTTTCTGCTTTTGTTTTAGTGGCTTTCTTCTTCAAGCGTTTGAACTTCAGCAAATAGATTTCCTCTTGGCTTCTTGGCGTCAGAGCAGCGACAGAGTCAGCGGGAGTAGGGGGCCCCTCCCTTGCTGCTGCTGCCACTGCAGGTAATACGGCAGGCAGGTGTGCAAGGGAGGGCAGCCCCTCTGCATCATTTATCTAAAATGTTAGACTCCTGCGATCTCCGCTTTCCGAGTCAACCCACTGAACCTCCCCCTAACGCCAATCAGGTTGCTTTCGCCCAACCAGCTGTACAGGCACCTCAACCCCAATCTGCAACAGCACAAGAAAACCAACGGGTGCAACAGCCACTTCTTCTCAGTCAGGTCAGAAGCTGCGTCGGCACAGCGCAGGAAGAAGTTCCGCCTTGCGCACCTGCTGGAGGGGAGTTGCTGCAGCAGGCTCACCGTCAGCAGCAGCAGCTGCAGCACCACGAACATCAGCAGCAGCAGCTCCTGTGGCCACACCGGCAGCAGCACCAGCATCCACAGCTGCATCAGCAGCGGCATCTATGCGAGGTGCAGCAGAAGGAGAGTCTGAATTCAGACGTTCAAAACCCGACCTCTCCCTTCACATCATCTAATTGTTTGGGGTTGGGGGCCCCACATCCACTGCAGCGCGGCCAGTTGCCGTCCCCTCCCCAGTCATTCTCTGTTCCTTTAGAAGCCGTTCATCAGCAGAGACAGTCGGAGTCTCAAGCTGAGGGTTCTTCTTCACTGAAGGGCCCCATAGAAACTGAGCCCCCGGCTGCCCCTACACCTCACCCACACAAACGACATTCAGGGGGCCCCCGTCTCGGTTCAAGCGCTGAGCAGGTGGCTGCAGCATTGTGCAGCACAGGGGGCCCCCAGGGCTGCCTAGAGGGGCCCCACATACTGCCAGAGGTCGAGACGACAAGTTCTGATGCCTCGGGAGAGAGGAGCTCGCAGCAGCAGCAGCAGGAGCAGCAGCAGCAGCAACAGCAGCAGCACCAGCAGCAACTTGTGAGACCCCCGGTTTCAGGGCACCCTCTTTGCTTCGCAGACGGCCCACCCCACCAGCGGGTGGACACCTCGAGGGCGGCAGCAACAGCAGCAGCAGCAGCAGCACGTTGTAGATCCTTCAAGGTCCTACCATCAGCAGCAGGAAACACGACTCCAGCAGCACCGGCGGGGGCTGCAGCAGCACCACCAAGAGCAGCAGCAACAGCAAAAGCAGCAACAGCAGCAGCAACAGGAGCAACAGCAGCAGCAGGAGCAGCAGCAGCACGAGCAACACGTAGCATTGAGGGAGATTTGTCTGGGGGTTCCTCTTTGTACCGATCTGTTCGCCGTGCGTTATCAACAGCTGTAAAGCGGTTAGAAGCAGCAGCAGCGGAACGCATTCGCTGCTTCATGGATGAGGAGTACAGACACCTCGCGTCTCTGCTGCTATCTGAAGAAGAGGAGGAGGCGCTGCTGCATGGCTTGCTGCTGGGCCTCAAGCTCGAAAGCTTCACAGATGCAGGCTTATCAGCTCTCTTTGAGCTGCTTCAGGGGCTCCCAGCCGCTGCAGCAAATGCTGCAGCACAAACCAATTCAGGGGCCCCCCCAGACACCAGCTGGGGCCCCCCCGTCTATGGTACTCTAACGAGCTGTCAAGACACCTCAGCAACAACCCAACGAGAAGCAGAAATAACCCTTCCTCCTTGCAGCTCAAGAGGAAGGCTCGACCTATCTGCTCAATCAGCAAGGGGGCCCTCCCTGGGGTCCCCAGGGTCCCCTGGGGCCCCCACAGACTTTGTTCTTACACCCCGAGGATCAATTGTTGAGGCAGCAGCTGCAGCACTGCAGCCGGCATTGCGGGAGTATTTGGATTATATTGATGAAGTGGATGGCTTCGTAGACATCATGAGTGAAAGCAAACCAACTCGCAACAGGTGTATATACACCCCAGACGGGGGGAGGCAGCAAGAGAGAGCAGCAGCTGCTGCTGGAGGCAAACACAATGGCGGTGAAGTCAGGACCTCTCGTATGCAAGCAGCAGCAGCAGCAGCAACGTCAAGAACAGCACCAACAGCAGCACGGGACTCGGGCAAAGCAGCAACAGCAACAGCGGCAGCAGCAGTAGCAGATATAGCTGTAGCTGCAGCAGCAGCTGCAGAATTCATGGAAGGCACAAGCGCAAAAGCCGGTCTCTCAGCTCTGACGCACAAACCCCAAAGAAGGAGGCCCCGTCACAGCGTCTCTAAGAGGGGGATGGCAACGTGGGGGCCCCCAGCAGCTCTAGGGGGGCCCCCAGCAGCCCTAGGGGCCCCCTTTGAAGAGTCTTCACCTCTTCCTTTGACGGAAGGGATTCGAGCGAAAAGGCAATGTCAGGGGCTCCCTAGTGTGTCTTTCTTGTGCAGTTCTCCGTTGACTTCTGCTGGTGCTTGGGGCCTCCCCCACCTCAAGCACCAGCAACAGCAGCAGCAGCAGCAGCACCAACACTGGGGGCTGTCTAGCGAGAGAGAGAGCTTCCTCCTTGAGAAGAGTCAAGCTGTTTCCTCTCCTTCGCGGATCTCTCCATCGTGTGCAGAATCCTTCCCTATGATTAACCCTTGCAAGCCGTGTACTGTAGAGGCCGCATTCCGCAGCAGCAGCAGCAGCAGCAACAGCAGCAGCAGCAAGAGCGGGATCTGCAGTGGTGCGTCTAGCGGGTGCCCCTGCAGCAGCAGTACGAGCAGCCGGGTTTTGATTTCATCTTCGTTGTGTCCAGGGGGTGTAGTATGTGATGCTGCGCCTCCTCCTTCCACCGTCACTTCGGGTGTATGTACACCCGGTGCTGTTGAGGTCGGGGCTATTTCTAGTCTGCGTTCTCCTGTTAAGGGGGTCTACTACGACAGTTTAAAGAAGCTTTGGCGTGTGCAGTGGCAAACCACCGCAGCAGCAGAGGGAGGGGGGGGGCCCCCAGGGGCCCCCGGAGAAGGCAAACGAATTTCGCGTTCTTTTAGCTGCAATCGACTAGGGTTTGAAGCTGCAAGGGCCAGAGCAGTAGCATGGATACTCTCTAGGGGCCTCGTTGGCGATGGGGGGGGCCCCGGTTGGTTTCCGTCAGATATTTCAGGTGTATGTGCAGCTCTACGCGCTGCAGAGACGTGGGAGATGGTGCAGGATACTCAAATAAAAGAATTCGCTGCTTTCGTTGACCCTAAACGCTTTCTTCTCAGAGTCGAGGGCTTCTACCTTACTGCAAAAATGACAGGGGGGGGAGGCCTTGCACCCGCACCCACAAACAAAACCCCTTCCCCCCTAAGCAGCAGCAGCACCAGCAGCAGCAGCAGTAGTAATGTGTGCAATACGGACTCTCTTGGAGACCGTTTGAATTCATTCTGCGCTTCCGGGGGTCGCAGCGCCTCAGGGGGAAAGAGGGGGGCCCGTGGGGTGTCTACAGGAGGCAGACAAAGAGGGTTTTCTTCTCTTAGTCTCGATGAGATGCTGAAGATTGTTTGGGGAGAGCCGCGAGAAGCTGCTGCGTTTATTCTCGCTAGTGCAGCAGCACAAGGACAGGGGTTTTCTTCTTCTTCATCTTCCTTTATGTTGAATGCAGGAACGAATGAAACCAAGGGCCTGCTTTTTCTTGAAAATAAATTAACTACAACACCCAATAAAAACGAACAGTGCTGCTGCATTAAAAGGGAATAACAAACATGTATTGCGTTCAGAGGTGTCTGTACACCCCAACATGCAAAAGAGAGCTTTCTAGGCTATTCTTTTGCAAAATTTTCTTTTTGTTGTTCTTTTAGTTATTTCGGTGACAAAACCAACGACAAACTTAATGCAGAAAAGGTTTAATTTGTTTAATTGGTTTATTTTATCCCTTTCCTCCTGAAATTCAATTACTATACATCTCTCTTCTTCTCTGTTCTTAATCGCTGCACATCTGCTGCTACGCTGCTGCATTGCTTTATTTATTGCCTTTTGGGGCTGTATGCAGTGGTAAGAGAAGCAAGAGGAGAAGTCCGTCCCAAACAGAATTCAAACAAAGTTCGGGAAGCAGGAAAAAATTGATGCAATTGATTTTAATTAATAACAAATTAAAGCAGTAGAAACAGGAAGAAAGACAAGAATGAAGGAGACTGCCTCTCAAAGCTACACAGCAAAAAAAGAAAAAAGAAAAAAGCAATTAGCTCAGAATAAATCACCTAAATCGGCGAAACTGAAATCAAAAGGAAATGTCTCCCCTTCTTCTTCTTCGCCTTCTCCCTCTTCTTCTTCTGCATGTTCTTTCTCTGTTCCAAATAAATCAAACTCAGAGAACAAGTCAAGTGGTATTTCGTCATCATCATCATCATCATCTTCTTCTATTTCGCTGTAATAACTGGCGTTGTAGCCCTCTTCATCTTCTTCTGCTGTCTCAGAAGAACTCGGAAAGGTGTCTCCAGTAAACAAAGAAATTATATCGTAGAGACTTGTTGGCTTTTTCCCTGAATCGGAGAAGTTGAATCCCCTTTTAACAAAACGGCCTCCATCTCCTGAGCCGTTTCTATCGAACGAAAGCCTTTCTTCCTCTTTCCTTAGCATTTCATAAGCTGCATTTATAATAATAAATGGCTCTTCGTCTTCCCCTTGTGCTGCTGACGCTGCTGCTGCTGCTCCTTCAGGTGTATGTACACCCGAACTCTCCGCACAAGAAGCACGCACTATGTCGGGATGACAAGCGCGAGCTTTCAGTCTGTAAGCCTTCTGAATAGACTCCAGAGAGGCAGTTGAAGACACTCCCAGAGTCTCATAGGGATCATACGTCAGCTTTCCTCCCCATACACCCAAAGGGGTTAAACGACAGAGACGAGGGGCGCCAGCAGCACTGCGGCATTTGCCTTCAGAAGCAGCAACTAAGGCTGGAGTAGAGAGGCAACAGATGATCAAATAGAGAGATGATAGAAAGCAGGATAGCAGTAAACGAAACATCGGTAGAGGAGGATGTATTCTAAAGAAGAGCAGAGCGAAAGCTGCATATCAACCCATGTTCTAGACATCTGCCGCTGAGGGCTTTGTTTGCTCGTTTGCCTTCAAAAGAAGAGGAAAGCAATGAAAAAAGATAATTTTATTTTAAAAACTTAATAAGACTTCCAGTGACGCCTTCAATTCAAACTAATAGTAGATATTTCCTTCTCAATTTAAACTTCTGTTGCTGCAGCTGTCTGTACACCGCGTCAGCGACCAATGGTGGGTGGTGGGCAGCGGGAACCGGAGAAGATTTACAAGGCCTGTTAAGATGTTTTGTTTAAATTATTTGTGAAATACTTTTATTTTTAAATTCTCCTTCTCCCTATGTTTTCTACGAATGAAGGCTTCAGACAATGAATACCTTAGTGCTCAACTACCCGCAATCCTCCAGAGCAACGGACGGTTTCCCCAGCGCGCAAAGGTGCGGCACATTCAACTAAAAATCAGAAAACTGGCTTCTACATTCTTAAAATGAAATAAATAATAATTATATTGTTATTATTATCCTTATTTGTTTATTATTGTCATCAGGAAAGCTCCCTATCTACCACCCTGTAGAAAAAGGCCCAGCAGAACCGACCGCTGGTGTTGCGGCTCGAAGCGAACAGAAAGAACGCCAACTATTAAAGGGTTTTTAAAGATATAATAATTAAAAACAAAGGCAATTTCTGTGCGTTTTACAGTGTAGGGATTGATGAAACTACTCAGTAAGAAGTATGGTGGCGGTGATAGCCAACAGAAAACAACATAAAAATGCAGTGCTCGGCTTGCATGCATGGGAATGTTTCTATTCAGGCAGACAAACGAGAAAATCAAAAAGGAGAAAATAAAAGATACGTAGATGCATGCATGTAGGTGTGCGTATGTATATATGCATATATATAATATATATAATATATAATATATAATATATAATATATAATATATAATATATAATATATAATATACTACATATATATATATGCACATATATATATGTACATAAGAGTATATAAAAGGGAGATGGCGCTGGATATCCTGCATGCGATGTCTTAAACAATGACAATACGAAAAATAAAAACTCCCCTTAAAAGAAATCTCTTCGTGTTTAAATCAGCTTACTTCAACCCAGAGCAATCTGCAGCCCCTTCTCTCAACTTTGTCTAATAATGGTCTCTTTCTCATTGCCTCTTCCAATTCTGCGCGGTCCCACCCCATTTCCGTGGGGTGTACAGACAGCTGGGAGCTCTTTATTGATATTATTCATGTCTTGTTTCGTTCTCAGTTGTTGTTTTTCTGCTGGAGATATTAAGAGACAATCAGATGCCTCCACGCGGTCCTCCAGCTGTATACCGAATGAATCTGCAACGTCTGTCAGCACTTTGTCAACCTATGCAAACACATCCATACAAATTCAAGTGTATGTACATGCATGCATGCATGCATGCATGCATGCATGCATGCATCCTAATATCTTTTTAAGTATATTTCTACTCACCTGCTGCGTAGGCATAGCGCTCGATGTGGAGACGTCAAGGAGACTCGAGACAGAGTCGCTCCGCACATCCTGAGAACAACCAGACAAGTATACAGACAGATTTCAATGTGCGTGCATTTATCCAGAAACACTTCCATTCGCGGTTTAGGGTTTAGGGTTTAGGGTTTAGGGTTTAGGGCTTACGAGGTCGTCGAACAACTTGGAGAAGAGTTCGATTTCCCTCAAAGACGAGGAACCGTCCAACTTCCGCAGAGCCCCAGAAAGCCCCGAAGCTACTGAGTGAATTTTTGTCGTCAGCTGCAGCAAACAAATGCAAATGAATAATGCATGCATGCATGCGGTCTATGTTCATTTGGCTGCGATACATTAGCAAATATATATATATATATATACACCTGTTTATTTCTTCATTTGCATATATATCTGTGTGTATGATTAAGGGATAGGGTTTATGCTCTAGGCAAGTGCTGTAATTTACATTAAGTGCATGCATATATACAGTGATTAGAATGTCTAGAGTTGCGTGCATTGCGTTTATTGATTATTTTATTTGTAGTACTTGAACCATCAACAAAATAATAATAATAGTAATAATAATAGTCATGGTAATAGTGATAATAATAATAATAATAATAATAATAATGCTAATGATAATATTATTAATATAGTTTGTTTCAGGTTCAAATGGAGGGGCCGTCAGGTGTAGAGAGACCTGCGCAACAACTTTCAACTTAAGAGGAAGGAGAGAAAAACAATTTATTTATTTTATTTATACTTCTTTGCTTGTCTGCATTCTGTTTTCGCTTTGCTGCCTTTTTGTCTTCATTTAAAATATAAACGGCGACAAAGACAAACAAGGGCAAAGACAAGCAAAGACAAAGTTGAACAAAGACAGAAACAAACAAAGACAGAAACAAGCAACGAGACGAAGACAAACATAAACAAAGACAAAGACAGAGGCAACGATAAAAATAAACACCAAGAAGAAGACAAACAAAGACAAAAAAACAAATAAATAAACAAAAACACTCAACCCACCTGATGAGAGCGGTATGCTCCATCCAAACGAGAGGCGACAGCCTCCAACTTTGATGACATATGCAAAGAATTGAGCCCTTCTTGTTTCTTCCGCACGTAATTCTGTGCGAATATCCTAAAAACCAAGTGTGAAAAAAGAGACAAAACAAGTATAATACAACAAATCAAAGTTGACGTACACGCACATACATACACGCACATACACATATAC